ATGTTTTTGACTGTGACAGCCTGTGACTCTGACAGCTGGAGTAAACCGTTAGCCAACCCTAAACCACCCAGAATCCAGTTAGAAACAAAGAAAATCTAGATAAGAATGGTTTGTTTTGGAAAAACCATGTTCCTTTGACCAAATAAAACAAAAAGAACTCCTAAAATGTCCAAATTGCAATCAAATTATTTGTGTCTGCTACCAATTAAAACCACCATATGCCACTTAAACAGAAGAACAGTAAATGGGTTAATTGGGAATCATTGTTAAACGTGATGGGATACAAAACATGCAACAGGAAGAAAAACCCCAACATCCTGTTCGTAGGGCGGCCTCTCTCAGGGCCACCTCATGACACACACACACACACACACACACACACACACACACACACACACACACACACACACACACACACACACACACACACACACACACACACACACACACACACACACACACACACACACACACACACACACACACACACACACACACACACACACACACACACACACACGTCGGAGCGGACCAGTGGAAATCTGTCAGCCATTATCTTTGTCTGGTCATCCTTATTGTGAAATAATAAGTCATTATCAGAGTCATCAGATAAACAGATGTCGACAAGCTGCTCTGTAAGAGAGGAGACCTCCATCTCCATCGAGCGGCGCATTAACACACACCATATGTGGCGCTTTCTGAAAAGGAAAACGCGGACTAATTTGATCACGGTTTATGAAATTATTGAAAAAAATAAACCCTCTGATTTATACATTTGAAACAAATAGACTGGTAAATAAAACGTTTGGCAAACATTTTGGAAACAGGTGTTACTGCAAGTCATTGACAACTTTTAGTGTTTTTGCAACATAACACTTATAACACAACATTATTATTTAAAAATATGCACAAGTAGGTTCCTTTCTAGGAGGAGTAGAATAATTAAACTTGAGCTACATACAGCGAGCATTTCATAATCAATAAACAGACAAGTCATCTTGTTATCGACACCAGTGAAACCCATTCAACTCAAGTACCTTCTGAATTTCTAATTAAAAGAAAATGAGGTTTAAAATGTAAAAATAAATAGGTACTGGCTCTTTAAAAGAGAGATTTTGGAACCAGGAGCTTGTTGGTTGCTGGTTCTACTTCCTGGATTTAGGCCCATTCCTACCGCAGAATAAATAAGCACAACGTTTGGCAAACATTTTGGAAACTGTTGTCGCTGAATGTCATTGACAGCTCTCATAAATTAACATCTTCAGATGAAAAATGATGCTGTTTCTAGTGTTTGTAAACACAAGAACGATCTGAATTTCAAATTGAGAGAAATATAAAAATAGCCACTGGCCCTTTAAGTCACTGCAAAGGGGTTAAAAAACGGTTGCTGGTTCCACATCCTGGATTCAGAGGCTGCTCAACCCTACCGAGGTGCCCTTGAGCACACAATAGCAGCTCCCATGTCACACTGCTAAATGGAGAAGATCTGAATTTCAATTAAAGAGAAATAGAAAATGGTGTGATGTGGATTATAAATACTGGCCCTTTAAGGGGTTAAAAACGAGATTTTGAACCGGAATCTTCGCGTTGCTCCTGGATTAAGGGGTCTCGCCACCCTACCGAGGTGCCCTTGAGCAACACCTTTAAAGCAGCTCTCCTGTCTAATTGGAGAGGCCTCATTTAGCCACACGTCACAGGACGGACAGCCTCGTGTCAGCGCCTCCACAAATCTCCTGCACGCGCTCCTCCACCTAATAGCGTGTCAGAGGGACCGAGGCACCGGGGTCACCGGGAACCGATGCCTCACTATAACGAGCCTCTCTCTGCGAACCGGGCTGCGACTGCGGTGGCAAAACGGAGATTAATGTCCCAATCAGGGGGGGGGGGTTAAGTAAAAGAAGAGCCGGGGACACGAGCTGCAGGCTTGGTTATCATAGGGATACAACTGGGAAATATACATTAAGTTAGTGTGCATTTTAACTACTGATTTCCGGTTTTTAAACTATAATAATTAAATAATAACAAAGAGTTTATATAGTGGCATGCAATCAAATAAGTGTGTAAGATTTAATTTAAACACGAGTTTAAAGATGATGGGATATGTACACATATTTAAATACTCACATAGTGGATCGTATGGCAATCACATTTTAGGATAGTAAGAGTATATGGTTTAATTTAAATAAAGATTATGGTGGCATATTAACACACATTTAAATAAAAGAAATGACTTTATGTTGCTGCCTTTGTTTGCGCAAATAAAATCCAGTTTCCCAACTTCAAAGGAACAGAATAACTCTCTTTCTGCAGATTATAAATCATGTTTCTGCAGAATAAAAAAATCGATGTCTGATCTTAGTATGCAAACTTGGCCGTCCTCAGCGGATGGATTGCTCCATTACCCAGAGTCTGGCTATTAAATCGCTTTATGGCTGCAAATACGACAGGGTTTCTTGAAGGCGTTTTGAAACGTCTGCATGCCAATAAAGTAAAGTGGCCTTGACTTGGATTTGACCTCTTTTTTTTGCATTGGGTCTCTTAAGCTCTGCAGATGGAGGGGCTGCAGGATTGTTGCAGGACTTCCAATATGGTGCGTTTTTAAACAGTTAACAATAGATATCATATGTCCTCTTTCTCTCTCTGCCGGAAACCTAATAGTTAAACCCAACTGCAAATGTTTAACTTATTGATTTAGTTCTCAGTGAGTGACGGCAGCTGGGCATGCAGATCAGAGTCTGGCACAGGCATGGGCACCTCATCCATCAAGGAGCCCGGATCCATGCCTTCTTCTAATGTTGGACTCAGAAATATCTCACAATGGTTTTTTTAAAGCAAATATGAAGGTTAAAAAACAGGAACAGCCATTCTTAACTAGAAATTAAGCTCACCAAAAAATGCAAAAAAAGATCCATAGTTTCAACACTATTGCATGTAATTTATAAACTATGTTGTTTACTGTTATATATTGTTTTTTTAACAGTCTAAATGATCTAGAACATTGTACATTGAGTATTCTTTGTGTTCCATGTCCTTTATACTCTACACGTGCTGTTCATTGCTTGTATGTTATTAAAGATTTTTAAGATTGCTGTTGTAACAAAATATTTTTCTTAATTTGGGATCAATAAAGTACCTATCTATCGAAAACAAAAACTAGGACTCTAATTGAAACGTTGCCAAAGCATGCATGGATTAACTGTCATTCTGGCTTTAAACGCGTAAAAACACCACGAAGCCTCCATGCTGATATCTGATGCAGATATATGATAGTGAAATTAATGAGTATCTAAAAATGAAGCTCATCAAAAAAAAAAGAAGCAAAATGAGATCCATAGCTGCAGCCACTAATGCATTAAAACGAGGACAATACATTTAAACTTTTGCTAACGCATGCATGGATTTACTTTCTGATAATTCTGACTTTAAACGCGTAAAAACACCAATAGCCTCCATGCTGGTATCTGAGGCAGATATATGCTCACTCTGTCTACCTTGGTAACACAAACGTCAGGCTCGGTTTACTGGCCACAAGTGCTGCTGATAAATATTCATGAGGCCGGCGCCTGCGCTTTCCCCCCCCATATCTGAGTGTTTGTCATTTCCAGACTTGCGCGTAAATACATTTAAAGTGGATGTTTCTCGTGTGATCTGCTCTCTGTGGCTGTGATGGCACACGCGCTGCAGCAGCCTGTCGTCGACTGCTCTGCTTTTTACGAGCATTTTATTTTCGATACCGTGTGTTGGTTCAGTGTAAAGCAATACGACAGGAAGTGGGAATTCAACAGCAGTGAAGGTGCATGCTTTGCATTCTGCCGTACTGAAACGTCAAAGGAGCTTAAAGTTGTGGTTTTTCTCTGCAGTGAAATAAAACATAAAGCACCAATACAAATAAAACTAAAACACATCCCAGGGTGTTTTTAAGTGTGGACTCTTAAACTGATTTTTTACATTTAAATTATTCCTCAAGTTCAAATGTTGAATAAACTGATTTTAGGTATTTGCGAATTTAAATGGCGTATGGACCATCCAAACCACATGAGATTTTACACTACTTTAAACTATTTATATTTCCAGTTACATGCGAACATTTGTCTGTAAAGTGACTTTTCTAAAACGGAAAGCGTGGAGTCTTTGTATTCATGCAGCAGCTCTGCAGACAGATAGTGTTAAATAGAGTCGAAAAAGTCATTTTATTACCATCCTTCATTTATCTCAAAATCTAATAGTCCGTGAAAAGAAAATATGAATACATTTCAATACATTTCAGCAAATCATCTAAGATGGTGGATGTTTTCTTCTCACGGGAAACACACACACACACACACGCACACACACACACACACACACACACACATACACACACACACACACACACACACCCTGCATGCTGGTGCCTTTTCTAGATTAAAACGTGGTTCTCGTGCTGCAGCAGCAGTCCTGACAGATCGAGCAGAGTTAACCATGATCACTGCTGATGTGATCTCTGCCTAATGGGCCGGTCAAGCTGCACAGGAACAATGAGGGGCCACAATAATGAGGGGCCACATTGACTCCTCAGCTTTCCCTCAATCTATGAAACCCGCCAAACGCGAGAAAGAAAAAAACAACCCAGAAAATAAATTAGATTTGAAAATTAGATTCCCGAACAATTAAGTAACGCAAACTATCCCGGGTTACACCGAGGAACAACCGCCGTGATTAATCGATTTAATTTGCACATTACTGCAGGGCAAAGAGGAGGATGTTAATTCTGGATAAACAGAAGAGTGGATTTGCTTCTTATTGACTGTCAGGGGAAGTGTTTTAAAATGCACACACACTCGCAAAAAAGCATGCACACACACAGTGAAGAGTTAACATTATTAGAGCAAATATTAGTTTAATCGAAACTAAATTAATTGTTATCATAATAAAAAAGTTTAGTCTGCAGTTATTTACGATATAAAAAGAACCCATTAGTTTCACACAGTGTTGAGATCAATAACCTCCAACGCATTGCATTATGGTATTTTGTAATCCTTTAATATAGTACGAAATGTATCCAAACATTTTTTTGTAAACTAAATTTTACATACGAGCGCATTTCTCCATAAATACCGATCATTTCTAACACGGTCCTTTACATGCGGATAAATATGGAAAATTGAGCTACTTACATGTAATAATACTTCCTTTCAGACAAAGCAATTGACAGAGATTTTATATTTATCACGTACATAAACAGGTTGACACGGAATTTCAGGCTTTCACTACACGATTTATCGACATGACATTAAATAACAACAATGATACTGTGCTACTCAAACTGGACCTTGGACGAAAAATGTTGCACTGGTAGGCTACAAAAGCACATTAATACTAAGAGTCGCTTAGGTCGACGTGTAGACTGTAGTAATACGGAATAATTCACATTTGGTTCACAACTATAACATTCTTTTTAATGAAGTCTATTCATCGCAATATTCTTAAAACCATCTCCATATATCTAGGGACCAACATTTTTCACAAATTCCCTTAAACTGTGATATTTACAAAATAAAATATTACATTTTTTAAATTCCCAACGTGGTGAAATCCTTATGTACAAAAAAAATGCAGGCCTCTACCCGGAGATAGCATGCTTTTTCTGAGCAGTCCCTCAGTAAAAAATAAGGGAATACTGAAGGGGGGGGGGGTTAAAGTGGGTGCTCCTCGCTTCCTTTTAGTCCATGCATTTCTGTCTTTAAATGATCCTCCCGTGTTTTCTCAGTCCACTTTTATAAAGTCTTTGAATCCAAGTGTTTTTTTTATTCTGCAGTCTTTCTTGCGTCTTTTTTTTCGTTGCAAAAATATTTACACGTACCATTCATTGAAATTTGACGACAGCGTGCTGTGGCTGGTTGTGTGGTGGACTGCTGAGGCTGCTGGTGATATGGAGCTGTTCTGGTTCTCTGTGGACGGGGACACTATAGTAGGGGGTGTGGACGACTCGTACCCTGAACTGGCTGCAGGAGAGGGCTGCGGCGCTGGATTGCTGGATTCGTGGACCTTCAACAATAAAACAGAGATTATGAAAAAAAGCATCCTGCATTGACTGGTTTGTCTCGGGTTTGTGCACAGATACAAAACAAATCACAACTAGAGTTTGGATTATAGCTTGCTTTCTAATGTTGGACTCAGTGGCTGCAAAACATCTCACTAAAGTGTTTTTTCTTTAACCAAATATGGAAGGTTAAAAAACAGGCTAGTTTTAATTAAAAAAGGAAGCTCACGAAAAAATATGAAATGAGACCCAGAGTTGTAAAAGGCAGTTTTGCATTAAAACAGGACTATCATTTTAAGCTTGTGCCCTTCTACTAAGGCAGTCATGGTTAGAAAACACAGATAATGCTGACTTTAAACACCATGACTGTATACCGATTTTAAACACGTGCTAAAAATCCCCAGATATTATTATTTGTATTAATCTGATTTATCGGTGCAAAGAAAATACAGTTATCTCTATTTCTATTTAACCTCTTTTCATAATATTTTTTCAATTATTATTTCCAGCTGTGAAATACCATTGAAAAAATAAAATCATTGCAAATATTAAACTCATTTTACCTTCATGTGTTTCCGCAGGGAGCTGGGGTGTGTGTAGGACTTGTCGCACATTTTGCACAGATACGGTTTGTCCGACGTGTGCACGTGCATGTGTTTCTTGCGGTCACTGCTGTTTGCAAACCTCCTGTCGCAGCCTTCAAACTCACACTTAAATGGCTTCTCACCTAAATTCAGAAACAAAAAAATACAATGTTTTACACTGGGTTTTTAAAATGTCACAATATTATATTTAAGTAAACAATGCAGAGGAATACAAAGACAGTCTATTTTTACTTTTACATTTGACAGACAACTCGAGTTACTTATACACTGCTAATTAATTGCATTTAAGCCATTTAGGCTTGCAGATTAATTAATTTAATCACATTCACACTATTAACATAACAACATAAAGACTTTAAAAATATGTATCTTAACAATGCACTGCATTTCATGCAAGTAAGAGACTAGTAAATAATAATCGCTTGCATATTTATGAAAGCGTGCAGTCTTACCGGTGTGAGTCCTTTTGTGGATTTTTAGGTTTTCCGACCGGGCGAACACTTTCCCACAGCCGGGGAACGGACAGGGAAACGGCTTCTCTCCGGTGTGTACTCTGATATGATTCACAAGTTTGTATTTGGCTTTGAATGGCTTCCCTTCTCGGACGCATTCCTCCCAGAAGCAGATGTGGTTGGTCTGCTCGGGCCCCCCCACATGCTCCACCGTCAGATGGGTCACCAGCTCGTGCATGGTGCTAAAAGTTTTGTTGCACGACTTTTTGGGGTTCGTCAGCTGCTCCGGCTCGATCCACTTGCAGATGAGCTCCTGTTTGATGGGCTGCCTCATGTATCGGAAGAAGGCCCCTGCCCCGTGGTGCGCGGCCATATTCATGTTCATGGGGCCGTAGCCGTGCAGCTGGGATGATGCGTAATGGTCGGACCTGGGGCTCGTAACGTGGCCATACTGGTCTGCACGTCCATACATGTCCCCAGTGAAGCCCAGCCGCATCTGGCTGTTAACCACGTTAGAGGGCGCGTGGTTCTGCTCGTGGAGCCCCTGGAAGAGCAGGTGCCCCGCCGCATCCGAGTGTCCATGTGGCCCTGCGAAACTTCCGGAGGCGAACAAACTGTGCTGCGCGCCGGTGGCATCCCCGAAACCCCGATTTCTGAACAGAAAGTCCCTGGTGGAGTTGAAGGTGGAATAAGAGTGGCTCGGGTGGTGGTGGTGTCCCAGCGCGGTGGCTGCGTACCCGGGAGCCTGGGAGGAGAACGCCGTCTGTCCGGAGCCAATATCGTGGGAGCTGTGGTTGATTTTGAAGGCGCCCATCCCATCCGCGAAGGGATTGATCCCCAACGCCACTTCTCTCTCCGTGACTTCGCCTGTTGAGTGATGCCGAGAGGAGCCGAAAGTAGTGACTCCTATGGTGGGGTACTGCGGTCCCGCGTCCAGGAGCATCTTCAGTCTACACGAGCCGAGACGACTGAGAGCAGAAATCAAAAAATCACGCACAGATATTCTTCCTCCCCCTCTTCTCTCTGTCTCTTGGAGCTCTCTCGACTGAGCAAACTCTGAAATCCACAGATTCTCTGTTTACTTTCTAAGACGCGAGGAATTCCCCTATACGGCTAATCCGATGCAGAAACATGTATACATGCACTATTGTCTTTTGCGGTTTATCTTCCTGTGGCGCGACTTTCACCTCCTCAGTCAGGCGGTGAGCTCTAGACTGATAGTCGCAATCATTCCTGCAGATAAATGAATTGAAAAGACAACACAGTCCAGCCCTGATGAATGGGAGAGGAGGGGGGGTGGTCATGTGGCCCCGGTTCAGCTCGCTCATTGGCTGAGCTCCTTTCCCCCCAATAACATCCACTCACCAAATAACAATCCACGGCACAGGGCCCACACTTCTATTGGCCTCTTTGCATCATCAATCCCAGATATTGTGCATTGCTGACTGTGGATTTGGTTAAAAGGCTGAATAACAGCAAAACAAAAGTTGAGAAACGCGAGACAATGAGGGACCTCGTAGAGAGTCAGAGCACGTTTTCACAACACAGCAGTTTATATAGAAAATGTGACAGTATGTCTTTGTTAAGCTGGGCATTAGATCACCTAGAAAACACATTTTGGTGGTGTAATTGGTAACGTTTATGTACAATTAAGCACTCTAGCTATCTGTATATATTTCTATTTATAATGGAATGCATTTGATGGATACGCAAATACTATGTCAGGAGCAGAAATAAAGACAATAATTGTATTTATTGCAACTCTAATGGACTGACATGATGGTAAACAAACCTTATATTTTCTCGTTTGTCATTGAGACACTCTTGAGGTTTTAATATGAAACCTGTCAACTGTCATCACTCTCTAGTTTCATCTCGAAGGGATCCAAATACTGTAGTGTTCCTCTGCTCTGCGTGTGTGTGTTTTGGAGTTCCTTGAACACAACGTCTCTGCGCCCACTGGAGCTCACCAGTGGAACATCTGTGCTTCAGATTTCCACATCATCATCATGCTCACCAGCGCCCCGCGTCCATAAAGGTTACACTGTATATAGGCCAGGATTTGACTTGTTCCTAACGTATCCATCACGAATTTTGGCTGCAGTGCTTGTGCAACTTACTCATTTATTTTGCAGGCCGGTGATGCATGGCCTGTGTGTAAAACGTTGTGGGCTGTCGAAGTTATCAAGTGGGATTTGCGGCGCTCTCTGCAGGAACCTCCGGCTGCTGGAGTTCAAAGCCACATGCACAGACGTGCCGGGCGAATCATTAAAATATCTGCTTGGCTACTAGGCTAGTCCCTACACAAGGCATTCTCCAAGTCAGTCTTGTGAGACCAGGCAAAGAGGGGACGTTTGTTGTTCTCAACTTAGCAAGTACACCCGGCGTTTTTAGGTATAGCTCACTGCTCTGCTGTGCGCACGTTTGGAGGGATCTCTCTCAACAGGTGGACAACGGTAAGCACGGCATATTGTTAAGAAGGATAGGAAAAGGAGTGAGTCAAGACTAGAGGTCATGTAAGAATTGCCACAAGTGAGGCTAATTTGGAAATTGTGTGCCAAGAAAAAAAGTTGTTGGAATTATGCAGAACTTTGTCGTTTTGAGTAAATACGTTTAAGATGACATGCGTAAAAACAAGGTACCTGATTAGCATAAGTACCTTTAAGTGCATTTATCCAAATGAAATGATTCTGTAGAATTTAAAATGGCTACCTGGATCTGTTTTATGACTTACAGTGAAAAATAAACTAAGCCAAAACTGCACAAATCTGAGTTTTAAGAGATTCTGTTTTCACCTTTCTGTTAGTTTGGGTCCTGTACAACTCCCCTGCTTACTTGTCTCCAAGAGTGAGTGCGTGCACAACATGGCCCAGAAATAGCACCTGAACGTTTTGCATTACGCTGCTGCTGCGATGCCTCTGAGGGCCACAGCTGAGGGAACCCCACCGTAAGGCCATTTAATAAACATCTTCACAAATATTGACTCATTGTCTAACGTGCTGGAGATGACGCTGTCAGCCACGAGTCTGACGAGTCAATTCACAGACAGAACTATCAGGTTGTAATATAGTTTTATATCTGTTTTCGTATAAACCAATATTATAAGCGAGTTATTTATTATTATTAATTAGCATATTCAGTTAATTGGTCTATATCTAAAAACTACACACTGCAAAACACATGCTCGTAATATCGCTATTTGATTTTCTCATGACCGAAAATGTAAAAAAGAAGTGTGAGGGGGTTCAGATATTGACAATACATTTAAGTTGCACTCTTAAATCCACAATTCACTCATGATCACCACAGAGTTGAATAACACATTTCATTTATGACATCAAAGTGTTCAGCTCTGCATGTGACCTTCTTTAAGGTCGCTGCAAACAGTAATTTATTTTTGTCTTCAACGACAGAGATATTGCAGTCTACACACACCACCAACCCCCACAACTAGAATGTGCATACTATTATACAACTCTCTTATAAACCTAAATTATAAGTTTTTTAAAAAGTAAAACTATGGCAAGAAATTATTCAAAATTCTCTCTATAGTTGCGATTTTATTTTTGGAGGTCCATGTTTGTTAAGAGACGAAACGTGCCGTGCTGCAGATATATTCGTGCACAGTAACACCCACACACTTTTTGGCCACACATTTGGTTTTTAAAATAGTTTGTATAACCTCATGATTTAAAAAAAAGTACATAGACAAAAATGAATTATACGATATCCTGTTATGATCCATAAATAAAATATATTTCCTTTAAGCATTCAAACAGGAAGCAGAACCTAACATGTTGTACTTTGTAGGATAATATCTTAGGAACCGATACTTACAGCACCCACACGTTTTTATTTTTGAACCTTAGTCTGCAACGGCACCACCTCCTGTGACCCTCATCTGCTGCCGTCCAGGGTCTAAAGCAAAATTACCCCGGATCATAACAACAGGTCCCGTCCATTACTTTTTTCCCCCTCGGGACAATGGCCGCAGCTCGCTCTATTCACACTGACTGCACACACGGATCCCACCGAGCAGAGCACGGAGCCAACACTGCGGTGCGCGCGGAGGAGCGACCGGCTGGATGTGTAAATATGGGGTTTTATCAAAGCGCGTATTAATACTTTTTACTCCGGACTATCATACTCCCACGTGGAGTTTTCCTTTCGATAAGTGGACAAGTTTCTCTCCGCTGACGCCGATCTTTTTACGTGCGTAAAGCTGTGCGTAATTTGTGCGTAAACTTGTCCCTCATACGTTGCAGGGGGAAAATGAAGATATCACTGCATTATTTATGATCCTTAAAACATTTTGTAGCCTACTAACAATATGCATACTCTAGCGAGGCAGGCTGTTTTGTAATTGCAGAATCAAAGAGGGGAAATGGCTCTTTCATAGCCGAGCAGCCTTTGTCTGCTCCGACAAAAGAGAGACGACTGTATATCTGGATCAACTTTTTAGGACTTTTATTGTACAATAACCTTTGCATAACAACTATTTTTCTAAAGCGTTGCCGGAGGCACTGCGCATGCGCGCTGGCTGCTTGCTGTCACTAAGACATTTTTCTTCACGTTGGAAACTGTCACTGCTGACGTCAATCACCAAGCTCTGACCAATTAGAGCGCGGGGTGATTGTTTAGCTCCACGGGCTGCAGCGCCTACCATGAATCTCTATTCAGTATCAAAGCGTCCTGCTGCTGCCTCTCAACCGAATGGGATTCCATGTAGTCTGCAGATAGACTTAACTTTATAAAGTCTTTTTTCTTTATTTTTTTTCACTACGATTAAAATATATTTGTCATCATCATTATTATTTTGCCTGCTGTCAAGTTATTCTAAAATTAGGAAGTAATGAGCGTGGATGCACTGGGAAGCCCCGTGATGGACCCTACGTTTTCCAAACGGAACACGGCGCTGAGATTAGTTGACTTGGCAGGGGCTCACCACCATCACCATCATCACCACCATACCCCTCAGAGCGTGACAGGCTTCCCGGGGTTCAGCAGCTATCCACACTCAATGGCTCACTCGCACCCTGGGGAGATTACTGCGGAACCCCGCCTGGGGCCGAGTCCATTCGGGCCAGAACACATGGGGCACTCCGCGGCCCTCAAAATCAGCCCAGCCCATCATTATCCCCACCACCATCTCCACCACCACAATCATCATATGGCAGGCCACAGTGAAGTGGTCTCCAGTCAAACGGGAGCTTTTGGCCCGGTTCAGGCGACATCGGTGCCCTATCCTATGTCTCACCACCCGGCCCAGGCTCTATCCGCAGGCAGGGACTTCCTCATCCGGAGAGATCTGACAGCTCAAGCCATGCCCGTGCTGACCGACCAGTCTGCCGGTTCAGCCTCTCACCACGGAATGTTTGTCTCAACAACAGGTAGCTATCCCGGACACTATGGTCACCACCCTGACGCTGGGAACCTCTTCTCCGGACTCCATCACGACCAGTCTTCTAGCGGATCCCCGGGTGGCCAAGCGTTGAATGGACAAATAAGGTTAGGACTACCTGGAGAAATGTACGTTAGATCTGATCACTTGAGTCAAGTGACAAGCTCCAGGGCTGATCCGTTCTCCGCCTCGCCGATGCATGGCTACGGTGGTCTGAATCTGAACATGAATCTGAGCGCGCACCACCACCACCACCACGGAGCCGGAGCCTTCTTCCGTTACATGAGGCAGCCGATCAAGCAGGAGCTCATCTGCAAGTGGCTGGAGCCGGAGATCTCGCCGAAGAAACTTTGCTCCCAAACTTACAGCACCATGCACGAGCTGGTAACGCACGTGACGATGGAGCACGTCGGAGGACCGGAGCAGGCGAACCATATCTGTTTTTGGGAAGAGTGTCCGAGGGAAGGCAAGCCTTTTAAAGCCAAGTACAAACTTGTAAATCACATCCGAGTGCACACCGGGGAGAAACCGTTTCCATGCCCCTTCCCTGGCTGTGGGAAAGTGTTTGCCAGATCGGAGAACCTTAAAATCCACAAAAGGACGCACACAGGTCAGTAGCTAAATATATTCATAACATTAAATGTACGAATGACATTGTGAAGTTGCATGTTGAAAAAAAAGAAGCTACAAGTGGATAATTTTTTAGTGATTTGTAATTTAATTTAACTTTCATTTCTGATGTGGCTTGGTGATGAATCAGTGTGTGCTGCTGATGGATCAGCCTGCAGCTCCTGCATGTCCACCCGTTTGTTACGAGGTGCACCAGTGCCTGCAAGTTTTAGCAAAGGGCTGAGCTTTGGGATTATGGTACAGCTCACTCAGGCGTTTGACGGTTCAACCTCTTGTTTACACCACAGCACAAAGACTGAGGCCCAGGCAACTCCTGTCCAGGCTGTTTAGAGCAGAGAACACGAGTGACAGCAGAGTGGGATCTTCATGTCCAGTGTGGCTGATATGTTGAGGATTTTTTTATAGCCAATTCTTAGCTTTTGCATGTGCCTTTATTGCAACCTATACTAATAGCTGGTTGGATGCGTTATAGCAATTGAAGCTGTCAAGAAAGGAATACGTTTTATTTAGAATATGGAAAGCCTCTTCATGTCCAGTGTGGCTGATATGATGATTATTTTTGTATAGCTATTGTTAGCTTTGTTTATGCATGTGCTTTTATTTCCACTAGTTGGTTGGATGCAGTATTGCACTTAAAGCAGCATGAAAACACGAAGAAGTTGTATTTTGCATTTATGTATTGTACTATTTAAAGCCCTGTATCAGCGTTATTTTGCAGAGTGCTATGATTACATGTAACTCTTGTAGCCTTTAGCCAAAGCAACAAGTTGACAAGTGCAGACGGCTGGAATAATTCACCAACAGGTTGGCAGAGCTGTATGATGAGTGGTGTGTGTGCAATGCAGCAGCCATGACTTTAAAAAACATATAATGGTTCACATTTGGCTGCTCGCCACCGTGTCCCAATGACGTGCTGTGGAGCTAGTGAGGGGAAGATAAGGCCTCAAAATGTCGAGTCACACTTTGTGAATGCAGACTACATTCCTCTTTCTCGCCCCCTCTGCTCCATGTCTGCACCCTATGTATTATTCATATAATTTGCTCACATTACCTAAGTACAAATCTGTTAAATTATTTCTGTGTGTTGACTCCCGAGGGGCCTGTTCTTTGGGATCATGTTTAAAACCTATCCCAAAGTGTGGTTATGTGTGAGCTGCCCCTGGGGTCTGTTCCTCCAGCTTTCTTGTACTACACTAATATCCTTGATTGGCTCTCTCAACCCAACAGCTGAAGGTCAAATTGATATTCAACCCGCAAGTGTAATTAGACAGAGGCAATTACATATTCTCAAAAGCTTTAATCGGAGGAGAAAAATCAGCAGTGGATGATTTCCGTGTAATTTATTCACACTGTCTTTTTTGCTTTTTTGCCTTGTCATAATCAGGTAGGAATACTTGTTATTAAGATGCTAAATTAGAGCCAGTCCAAAAAGCAGGATTCAGATAGCACTCAGTAGGTGAAGCCTGGCTGTGGAAATACTTTCATTCATCATGTTTTCAGTTGGTTTTAGGCCTGCTATGTCTGTGCTCATAGCTTGTCTGTTTTGACGTATGTCGACCCAGGTACAGACGCAGGACAGTGGGGGTTCAGCCTCCTGTTTACACCAGGCTGAGGCTCCTTTAAAGTGCATGGGGGGAGCAAAAAGTGTGTTTACTGCAATACTGTAAATACAAAATATGTACAATTATATTTGAAAAACTGAGAAAAAAATCAAAGTTGCTGTAATTATACTTATACTATATTTTTGGGTCACATATGAGGACATGTATGCAAGTGGTGTTTTGAAGATAATTTAAACATTGGAGATACTTTTAAACATACAAATAATAATATAGTATAATAATAATGCCTGAGGGGGAACATGTATTATTTAAAACATGTTATAATGTAAATAGAAAGTATGTGCAGATACAATTACATTACAAGTTGTCATTTTACCAGCTTTATTTTGGGTCACATATTTGAGCACATGTATACAAGGGCACCACATTGCATTTAGAGAGTTGTATCTACAAGATACAAGAGTGTCTCAGAAAGAGTGGGGGGGTGTAAAAGTGTGTTTATTGCAATACTGTAAATACAAAACATGTAAAATTATATTTCAAAATGGAGGAAAAAAATCCAAGTGGCTGTGATTATACCAGCTTTTTATAATAGTTGTATTTTATTTTAGGGTCACATATTTGAAGCCATGCAAGTGGTGTTTTTATGAACATTTGAGATACTATCAGATATCTACAAGTTGCACGATTGTCTCGTAAAAAATCACATAATGTCAAAAATAAATCTGTAACGTATTGATTTATATTTCATTGTGTCCCCCTCACTGTTCACAGGTCCACACTGGTGGACATGTTAACAGTTTTACTATCAGATATCTACAAGTTGCACGATTGTCTCATAAAAAAACACAAGGGCTGAAGTTGAACAGGAAACTTTCAAAATCTGTAATTTATTGATTTATGCTTTATTTTTCGGGTCACATATTTAAGGCTGTGTACAAGTGGTGTTTTTAATGAGACTTTAACATTTTAGATACAAGTTGCAAGATTCAGAATCAGAATACCTTTATTAGTCCCACAGAGGGGAAATGTACATTGTTAGAGCAGAAAAGAGCCACAGACAGCTTAATGCTAAAGCATGCATACAAAAAGTATTACATTTTTTTTTTTAAAGAAATTATAAAAAAGTTACACATTTTACAAAATACACATCCTTGTGTCTCATTAACACACTGCCTAAGGGTGAACATCACATCATTTAAATCTGTATTGATTTATATTTTACCTTTGTGTCACCAGGTGAGAAGCCCTTCAAGTGTGAGTTTGAGGGCTGCGACCGACGCTTCGCGAACAGCAGTGACCGGAAGAAGCACTCGCACGTGCACACCAGCGATAAGCCTTACAACTGCAAAGTGCGAGGCTGCGATAAATCCTACACACACCCCAGCTCCCTGCGGAAACACATGAAGGTGCACTGCAAGTCCCCCCCGCCCAGCTCCGGGTACGAGTCCTCCACGCCGTCCCTGGTGTCCCCCTCCTCGGACATGGGCCGGGAGCCAGGAGCCTCCTCGGAGCCGGTGGGAGCCTCCCAGCCGGCCAATTTAAGCGAATGGTACGTGTGCCACAGTTCAGGTGCAAGTGGTGCCCAAACACCCCCCAGTGGAGCCTCCACACCGGACCCCTCAGAGCCACTTTACAGGAACCAAGAGCCGAGGGACGCGTTTTAATCTGGATTTGAACGCATCATTGAAGCGTTTTAATCTGGACTTGAACGCATCATTGACATTTTTAAAAGCCTCACTGTTCAAAACGGTTTGGCTCCGGTGCCTATACGCCTCTTGGAAGAACCCCCTAACATTTGGAAGGTGCAGACCCTAAAGACGTGCTAATTTTCAGGCACTCTAAAAATATATATTTTGAAACTCAGCTGTTTAAAAGCTTGGCTCGGTGCCTGACGGTCCACTTGTGGAGAGTCGTGTAAATCCCGTTAGACTGTTCATGTGGTATTTTTATTAGGCTATAGGCATGTTGGTGTACAATTATTTTGTAAATTCAATATGTTTTTATTTATTTTTCAATCTGATATTGAAGGGAATTTTTGTATTATCGAACCAAAGTGCATGTTTCAATTAGGATGAAAAAAATGTATATTTGTAAATTTTGTAAGTTTCGATGTGTTGGTGTTTGCAGTTATTTGTACAAAATGTTGTTATGTTTATTTCCCCCATGTGTGCAGAAGGGTCAACAATTTGAACTGTTTCATACGCCTGCAGTATTTGATATACGACCGTGAATTATAAATGTTTTATCAAAGTGGGCATTTTGTGATTTTGTATCATTGTCGTCAATATATATATATTTTTCTTTTTTTTTGAATATCTGAAAACGAACGGCACTCAAACGCGTACCGAACTGCCTTGTAATTTGTGAGTATTTTGAATAAATCTTGTATGACTAAAGTGAAATCTGTGCTGAGCCATTCGGGTCTATGTGGGAATTTACAGCCGGTTATTATCTGTCCTGGGGAACATGTGCTAAATATGCCTTGTTTGAAAATAACATGTCAATTTAAAAACAGCATTTGTAGAAATTAAATATCGACTTTTAAGATTTTAACAAACAGCTCAAGGAAAACACATTATTTGAGTGTTTCTCGGTTAAACTTCTTGGCTGAGTTTGATGAATTTCTACAATATTCTGATCCAGACTTCAAAGAGCTTTTGGTACAAAGAGCCATTTTTTTCACGACGGTGAATCCTCATGGTGAATTAAGATTTCTAAAGCAATAGTCAAGTCAAACTCAAATGTTATGGGGCCAAGTCCGTGGACTCAAAAGCCCGCTCTAAAGAATGTAATATTTGCTTCCCATGGGGTAGGAAACGGTAATCTGTGTCCTTTATACTGCAGACGAGGGGCAGCATAAAGAGGAAAAATATATTCTTTTGCTGGGTCTACTTTACGACAATCAAAGGAGAAGCCGCTAAAAACCATAATAGACTTGCATTGTTGGATGGCCGAAGTGCTCAAATGTAATCATATTTTCAGACGTGAAATGTGTAGAACCATAAAACACGTGGTGCCTAATGATAACCACACAGTGCACGTTGAAATTAATGTAATATATTGTAAAATAAAACGAGTAAAACAAGGTTAACAAAAAGCAGGAAGAGCTCTGGGAAAACTTTTCTCGCCGAGGGGATTTTCTTTTTTTTACTCCAGGCTCTGACTAGAGTGGGTGGAAACACTGCAACTCTGTGCGTGTATATAGAGTTTGGTTAAGTGTGTGACAGAAGAACAAGAGGCCCAGATTGTGAAAGAAAAGAATAAACCGAAGAAGATGATGATGCCTCCTTTGGCACCAGCTCTTGTGCGTAAAAACAAGATAGTTGGATCTCAATTGAAAGTGGGGCTCTTTGAAGTGGAGCTTGATATCAGAGGGATTCTTCTAGGTCGTCTGAACGACGTTGATGACACGGAAAGCCTTTTGTCACCGATTTGTTGGGCTCCTCTCTCTATTGGGCTCCTCTCTATTGGGCCGTCTAAAGCTTTTAGTTCCAGTCGTCAAAATGGACAAGAACTAACTGAGTGCGTAAAAACATTTTCCATTCAGAGAGGAGGATAGGCCAGTTTTAAAGAGGTTGTTTCATTAGCGGAGTTAAAACATGAGGTCTTTTTTTTCTTTCTGCAGGGACAGATCAAAGAAAAAATGGCCTTTCGTTTCATTTAGAAGCGAGGAGAAATAAATCCGCTGTAATAATTTACGACTTCTGCGAAATATAAACAGCCTGTCTGCAGTTAGAAAGTACAAGTAACTCTGAGTGGGGGGGTTTAAGTGAAATGCACGTGAGGACTACTTCGTTTTCCATCGTGTAGACACTGGATAGGCTACTCTAACATCTGATCCTCCAGCTGATCTGATATCAGCTCTGGGACCAAGAATCAGGAACAAGTGTGTGTGTGTGTGTGTGTGTGTGTGGGTGTGTGTGTGTGTGTGTGTGTGTGTGTGTGTGTGTGTGTGTGTGTGTGTGCGTGTGTGTGTATAGGCTACGTGTGATTGCGTGGTGATACATTTTACGAGTGTGTATGTGTGTGTGCCAAAAACAGAGAGCCTCAATTTGAGCTGCAACACGAACGAGCCCCAAACAGGAAGCTGTGTTGCAGTTTCTTAGCAGATATATTAATTGCAGGATAGATTTTCCTTTTTAAAGAAACGAAGGGGGAGGTTTTAAACTTCCAAATGCAACAAAAAAAGAAAAGAAAATGAATCCATTTCGTCCTCACGAGGCCCTCTCTGGCTCATTTGAGTGTGAAATATCATTTCTTTGTAAAATAATGGAGGCGGTAATCCTACTTCCGGAAACTGTCCGGCATTATTGAACAAAACCCTTTTAATAGGGGGATTAGCAGTCTAGGAGTAAAAACCTCGCCCCCCCCCTCCCCTCTTTCCTCCACGCCCCCCCCCCCCCCCCCATGCTCCAACACCGCCACCATCAGCACCTCCAACACCAGCCAGGTCATAATTATCAGGAATGAAGTGGCCGACATTGGCAGGACAAATAAAAGGAGAGACAGGTGCAAGCCACAAACAGACCGGAAATCAGTTGAGAGTGGGTATTATAGCTTGTAAAAAAATGCATTGACTTTACTATTAATTCATATCAGTAACAGCAGAGTTTAGATGCATAAAAACGGCTGCAAATTTAGTTTTCCTCCTTTTAAATATTATAGGATTTTTTTTCTTCGTAAAGGAGCATTACAGGAGGCAAACCCCAGGAACGGACCGGAAATCAGGTATAACAAAGCTGGCTTAATGGGAAGAATAATGCATTGATTTTACTATATATTATTGTCAGTAAATACATATATTAGATGTATTAAATATGGCTTTAAAAACACTAAATTACAGGTTTTTGTCTCCATTGAAATATTAGGTATTTCTTCGTGCTAAAGGAGCATTCCACTTTATTTCTCTGACGCAGGGTGCAGAGGTCAAAAGAGGCAAACACCACCGTAAAGCTTGTCATGAATATTAACTATGATATTATTCTGATGGTGTTAGTTTCCAGAGGGGGGGTTACCAGATCACTGCGATGTATAGGCTCCACTATGAGCTTCCGTCATAAAGATTTATGAGAACCTTTAAATCTGAATTAACTGTACTCCATATATAAAGGCAGGTTTAAGGCTATACACCCCGCGGTAGCTTTTGTATATAGCAGGCCCACATAAGTCATTATCAAGAGAGGGAACAAATCAGAGGCAGTAAGACCTTCTACACCCCCCATGTTTCAGGATTACCGTCATCCAAGTTATTTTACTCTCACAGAAGAACCAGAATCAGCCCCCCAGCAGCTATAGGCCCGAACACGGGTCCCTAACAGCCTCCACATTATCAGGCAGAATGTGCCACATACTTCACACCTGCACCCTGAATAGCAGCTCCTTTCAGGGGGTGATACGCCTGTTGGCCCTGCATGGCTCAATGCAGCTGCATGAATGAGTTGTGCCTCTTTTGATCCAACATCTCCTCCTGCATTTGCTCAGATATCTAGTTAGCAGCCGCAGCTTCCCTTCATTAATGCACTTTCATTATGTGCACAGGAACTTGTTGCTGCAACAAACATACATCTGTATGTTGTTGACGTCAACTCACGAGGCAAATATGGGGATTTTAATGACATTCACAATTTATTTGCACACTATATTCCTTCCAGCACATTTCTGAACATGAGGTGTTTAAAAAAAGAAATCACAACTAAATACAATTATTTCAAAATATAATATTTAAATGTAGGAGCTTAGCCCTACACACTGTCTTGCAGGCAGTTTGAGCTATTTAGTTAGCAGCTACTATGTGATGATGACTTATTATTGTTATTATATATAAATGATTATGTGCAGAGGAACTTGTTGCTGCAACAAACACATCTAAATATTGTTGACGTCAATTCAGGAGGAAACTATGGGGATTTAAAATGAAAAAACGGTATTTTTTGTAATTATCCATTTCTTTGCACACCACCCTGCTTATTTCTCAACACTAGTCAATTAAAACAAATCACAACAAACATTTAAAAACCTAATATTTAAATGTAAGAGCTAAGCCCTGCGCAGTGTCTTGTAGGCAAACTTCACAGTATTAAAGTGGGCCATGCATCACGCAGGATAAATGAATCTGGATTTGAGGACTTGCCCTTTGGCGATTAAGTCGATCTGACGTACAGTAATTCATCATAACTGAATCTATCATGTTCTGCTGACCCCTGCGTGATCTGAGTGTTTGTGACACTAATATCTGAGAAAAGCAACGAACAGGTGTGAAAGAATAAATATGAAATCCTGCCAAAGACACTGTTTGTGTTAAAGTTTCAGCCCTGGACAAAAACAACTCAGGGACTTGAGAAGTTGCTGCAGAAATAAAAATAAAATAACGATTATCCTGGAAGTGGTTCACAAACAAGGAAATGAACCGTTTTAGGACAAAAACCCTCCTACTGATTTAGCCAAAGCCATAATGGCAAAAGTGCGTTTATACAGTCGATAAAGGAGACAGTATATCATCATATATCAAAGTAACACATATTAGGAGATGCAAATGCTGCCAACATTATGAATCATTGCTCTGTCTGCACTATTTCACACGTCAGATGGGAAATGTGTTCCAAAACGCACAGTTTGAGGAGACACATAATGCAGTGATCAGTGTTGCAGTGTGGAGGACTTTGGGTCATTTCGCCACCTCCCGCAGAAACACATTATGCCTCTCATATTTACATACTCTTTAATATTTGTCAAACATTCATAAATTACAAACTAATGAAATGTTCGACGGTCCTTGGAGATGGAGCTAATGAAGACTTTTTTTCGTCCGTTTTGACACATCTTTGTTAGGTTTAATACCATTCTGTGTCTCATGGTCTATTAACTATTATTATACTTATGTCAGGACACCGCTGACACGTTACGACACGAGGATCACCTGCTGGAGGTGGGCACACCATGGGATATAAATGGCCTTCATCTATAACGCCAGTAGCCTGTATAAAAAGCATTAAATGTGACTGGGATTATTAGTGTACATTTCCTGCAGGAATTACGCACGGAAATACACCTTTAAATATGTATTTGTTTAAATTCAATCGAAATTATTTGTTTTATTTTGAAAAGTATGAATGAAATTATGTTTTAATTTGAAAAATATAAACACAATTGTGTTTTATTTGGAAAAATACAAATGTAATACATTCTTTTTTCAACGTTTTTATTTTTTAGAAAGAAACCCCGTAATGAATGATTTATTAAAATGATTTTTTTGCGTCACCACTACAGCGTCCAAGAGACTCTCAAAGCCCTGAACCTGTGCAAACGAAGAAAGACAGAGAGGAAGAGTAGGGGGAGATATTAATTATGAAACGGTGTGGATTTAATTTCCGCCCAGGCCAAAGCTTTTATTTATTCATTCGTT